CGATCGATTTTGCTAGATCGAGAGATGAATAAAAGTGAGAAAAAAGGCCACCTTCTTCGTCCAGTAAATTTGGTTCATCCGCCTCGAAGATTTCTTTGCGAATGTATCTAGCAAAAATCATCTGGTTCTCAACATCCCCTTAGAAAAAAAAACATAAGAATGACATAAATGATTTGTAAAACAGCGAAAGACTACTACACAGATAAGATATCAAGTATGGGATTATAGGGAAACAATTCGGTTAAGTTTGCGCAACAATGACAACCTTTCCAGGTACTAATCATACATATGCTTCTACCAAACAGGAAAAAGAATCACTGAGTACATAATTCTAAAAACTTTCACCACCTGCAACATTCTGCGAGATACTTTGGCCTTGGAGAGTCCTAGCCATAACTGCCATTCTCCCGTTACCAATTGAGCACACCATTCTGGATAAATACTCTGCTTGTACACTATAAAAGAAGAGTCTCCAGTCGTTGTAATGACTATCACCTATCTAAGAAAAACACGAACAAGAACCTGCATTGCCAAAGCTATTACCTTAGAAACTTTCTGTAAGAACATACAAATGTAAGAAAGTCACAGACAGATGCTGAGCTATATCTCTCAAAGCAACTCAGATTAAGAAATTTGTAAGATCTATGCACAAACAACAAAAACATCCAACGATGTTGTAATGTTTGTAAGAAATGCAATACATAAAAAGAAACAATATTTTGAACAAAAAGCATAGATTGATGATGATATCTACAAATTTCTGAAACCCTATTGAGATTACCGACGAAATTGAAAAGAAAGTGAAGCAGAGAAGTCGATTTCGAGGCGAAATGTGAGAGAAGAAGGGAAAATTCAAAGGCGTGAGGAAATCGGAAAAGAAACCAACCGGAAATTGAAAATTTGGGTCGATTAAACGCGGTTTTGTTCATGTGTGTAACAGTAGAAACGCAATGTCGCTATTCTTCATCATCGTCTTCTTCCTCTGGAGTCGGAGTCGGAGCTGCATGGGGAAAACGCGTCACTGTTTCGGATGCGTTTGGTCTTTTTTTAACCTTTCACTTTCACTCCTTTTTTTTCTTTCCTTTTCTCGGGAATTCAACAGTCGCAGATAAATTAACCAATTTACGGTTAATTGAGAGTTTTGCAAATTAACCTCCCATCTTTACCAATAATTTCGTTTTTTTTTTTTAAAATCCAAGATATTTTATCTGTTTTGAAAGCCCAATTTGTTGAGTTGTTTAAGAGATTGAGAACCCTGATTGGTTAAGA